ACAAATATTTTAGGAAGATGTCCAAAAACTTGTTTAAAACTAAAAATGTTCTTGTCATTTATTAGGCCAATGACAAACTGAAACAACTAAATATTCTTTATTCACACATAATAACCTTAATATTTTAATATTATTTCAAACTTGATTTAAAATGTTGTGACAAATGAGTAACAAATAAATACAAAGATGAATTTAATTACACTTATTGTCTAGTGTCAAACACTTTTTATTGTCACTAAATACAACCAAATTTAGCACAGAAACAATAAAATATATTATAATAAAATAAGTGAATAAGATGTAATTAAACATGATTAATGTTTCTGAAAAAAATCTCTAATGCTCACCAAGGCTGCGTGTGAAAACAGTAATATTGTGAACTATTAATGCAATTTAAAATAACTATGTTTTCTATGTGAATATATTTTAGAATGTAATTTATTCCTGTGATGCAAAGCTGAATTTTCAGCATCATTACTCCAGTCTTCAGTGTCACATGATCCTTCAGAAATCATTCTAATATACTGATTTGCTGCTCAAGAAACATTTCATAATATTATCAATGTTGAAAATAGTTGTGCTGCTTCATGTTTTTTTTTTTCAGGATTCTTTGATGGAAATTCAGAATAGCAGCATTTATTCAAAATAGAAATCTTTTATACCATTATAAATGTCTTTACTGTTACTTTTGATCAATTTAATGTGTCCTTGCTGAATAAAAGTATTAATTTCTTTAAAAAAAAAAAAATCTTACAGACTCTAAACTTTCAAATAGTAGTTTATATATAAAGAACCTAGTTTAATAACCTATGCTCATAATCCCAAGTTATTTAACTTTCCATTTGTCTGTTTCAGGGCAAATGCTCTCAGATGTGCTACAACATCTTCATAGTGGAGTCGGTGTGTGTGGCCTGGTTCTCGCTGGAGTTCACGCTGCGCTTCATCCAAGACCGCAGCAAGCTGGCCTTCCTCCGGCGGCCGCTCAACCTGATCGACGTCATAGCCATCCTGCCCTTCTACATCACGCTGGTGGTGGACAGCACCTCCACGGGCGAGAAGCGCTTGGGCTCGGGCAGCAGCTATCTGGACAAAGTGGGCCTGGTGCTGCGCGTGCTGCGGGCGTTACGCATCCTCTATGTGATGCGGCTGGCGCGCCACTCGCTCGGACTCCAGACGCTCGGGCTGACGGCGCGCCGGTGCACGCGGGAGTTCGGCCTGCTCCTCCTCTTCCTCTGCGTGGCCATAGCGCTGTTCTCGCCGCTCCTCTACCTGATCGAGAATGAGGCCGGGGCCACGCGAGAGTTCAGTAGCATTCCTGCAACGTACTGGTGGGCCGTGATCACCATGACCACGGTGGGTTACGGCGACATGGTGCCGCGCAGCATCCCCGGACAGGTGGTGGCGCTCAGCAGCATCCTCAGCGGGATCCTGCTCATGGCGTTCCCCGTCACCTCCATCTTCCACACGTTCTCGCGCTCCTACGTGGAGCTCAAGCAGGAGCAGCAGCGGCTGCTGCAACGCAGGACTCACTTTCTGCTGCGCAGCCGCATCGCGGGTCTGGGCAGCAACCTGTCACTGGAGAGCAACATGCTTTTTCCTAGCGTCTCGTCTGATCACAGAAACCCAGAGGAATAGGAGTACAGAAAAAGTGGAGGGTGCTAATGGACGCGGAATATGAAGCAGCTGTTTTGATCTCTTGAATGTCGTTTTACATATTATCCATCAACAATCCATTAAAGGGATAGATTCAAAAAAATTCAAAATTGAAAATTCTGTCATCATTTTCTCACCCTCATGTCCTTCCAAACCCCTAAGAATTTGGTTAAAGGGCTTCCCAAAAGTGAATGAAAATTCTGTCATCATTTTCTCAACCTCAAGTTGTTCCAAACCTGTATGAGTTTCTTTCTTCTACTGAATATAAAAAGAGATTTTGAAGAATGTAGGTAACAGTTGCTGGTCCCCATTGACTTCCATAATAAGGAAAAAATACTATGGAAGCCAATGGCTACCGTCAACTGTTTGGTTACCAACATTCTTCAAAATATCTTATTTTGTTGTGTTCAACTGAAGAAAGAAACTCATACGGGTTTGGAACAACTTGAGGATGTGTAAATGACAGAATTTTCACTTTTGGGTGAAATGACCTTCAAGTCACAATCCCTCCAAACGAATCCATATGATGACAGAATTTTCATTTTTTGGTGAACTATACCTTTAAAAGTCTTTTAGAGGTGCTCAGTCGTGAACCTTCCAGCAGAACTGACTTCCGAGTTTAAATTGAACATATCTAAACCTTTCAGACCTAATCAAGTACCTAATCAAGGTCTTTGGGTTTATTTGAAAATGACTGGCTGTAAAAGGGAAAGTAAATGTGATAAGGTTGATCTTAAAGATATAGGTCACCAAAAATGGAAATTCTGTCATCATTAAAGGCCTGTTCACGCCAGGGTCAATAACTATAACAATAACTATGAAGTTTTGATAACAACACATAGGAACAATAACATTAGGATCACTTTCAAAACTTTCAGAACCTTCCTGTCATTTCAAACCGTCTTCTGTGGAACTCAAAAAGAGAATTTTGAATAATGCAAAAAGTTCAAGTTTAATAAAAATTATTTGTGTGCTATATAATGCCGTTTGAAATTGCAAAAAAAAAATTAAATAAATTAAAATATTTCTCTCTGGTGGACCACTGTACTCCCTCTGAACTTGAGAACCAATATGTGAAGAATCATTTAGATCTGTTTTATGAACTAAATTAATTAACTAAAGATTTGAAAGAATTTACTTAGTGATGAATTGGACTTCACTACTTCTCATGAACGCATCAGTGTTGTTGTTTCACTAAAACAGTTGTTTTCAGTGATTAAAAAGAAAGCTGAAAGAAAAGAAAATATTAGATGAAAAACCTCAACTTAAAAAAAAATGTAACGTTGCAGTGGAAATCAGCTAACTAATTAAAGCTATATATAAATATGGATATATAAAGCTATATAAAAAAATGTTAAACTTAAACAATAAAAGTGACAAAATTACTAAAACTTAAACTAAAATCGAAATGAAAACTGAAATATAAAAATAAAAACGAATTGAAAATAAAATAATACATTTATATGCTATTACAGTATTTATAATATAAATAATAATGTATGATAATAATAAAATAACACAGGAACACATCATACACAAATAAATTCAACTATCAAGGACAGCTAGGGTGTAATGCAAGATTTTAAGTATATAAAAACTTCACAAAGCCGTCATGTGACTTCTGAAGTCCTGGTATACACTTTACAATATCATTGTACATTATATTGAAAAGAGTGGCCAGGATAGGCCATGGAAGGCAGCAGGTACGTTTTGGAGCGACATGAGAATCTGCACACTGTATTTTCAGTACTGCATGAGCATCTTCCCTTTGTGCAAATTTAATTCGAACACACAAATCACATCACACACTAACATGTCACTTGAATCATGTGTTTAAACACCAGGTTTATGTTCAAAGTTTCGTGCTGCTGATATGTGCTGAAGTGTATGATTCAAATCCATATAACCTGCAGATTTCATGCCATATAATTCTGTTCCACAATATACAATCTGTAATGTTTATTGCTAAAAAATCTGCCAGGAATATCTCCCTATATAGTTTCTCAAATGTGTCACATACTGTTTTTTATATTATATATAAAAAATTCTATTATATATTATATTAATAATAATAAATCACATGACATGAATAAACCTAATTTCGTTTTTCTTGTGATTTAAATTTTTTATGGTCTTATTTCTTACAAATATTTGTGGCTTGCTTGAATTTACGGTAAACAACTGTCTTTCTTGGAGCAACCAGTCTTTACCGTTAGGGGGCAGCAGTGCCAAATCTTTGGCTAAAAACTTGGATTTACTGTAAAACAAACATATATTGTGCAAATGGAGGAAGACAGCATGAATGGGCCTCAGGCTTTCATCTCTGGTATGTGTGTGGCTGTCAAAACCTGATGAGACGTGTCATAAGTTATAGAAAATGGCAAGTTGAAGGGAAGCACTCACAAAAAATATGAATTCAGTTAATCAGCCACAAATCTAGTCTCAAACATTCAATGAGGAACGTGTATATGTCTGCATTCCTTTCTTTATGGAGATACTGGCAAAATTTTACTAAACAAATCCTCTAGAATTACTTTGACCTCTGAAAGTATATGCATTTAACAGATTTAGTTGTTTTTTAAGAGTGAAAGAATTTCTTAGGAAATGTTATGAAACAAATGTATTATTCCATTGGCAATGGAGATCACATTTAGAATAAGAAATACTGCTATTTAATCTCTCCTTTATTTATTATTTGTATTTATTTTTTTATTCATCGCATTCGATTCGAATCTTTAGAATCCGTTCCAAAACGTTTCACTCTGATTCGTTCCTGTCTCTTGTTGCAGGTTTACAACCAAGGTTATTATAGTTTTGAATTTTAAAATTCGTTTTATTTTAATATCGTTTTCAAATTTGCTATAAAGTTCAGGTTCGTTTTTATTGTAATGTTGTAGTGAAAACGGCGCCAAACACGTAGCCAATCAGAGCCCGCGAATGGACCTTTATCACAGCGGAATTGATTCCCGAAGTGCCCGTCGAAGCAGTGTATCGATTCTTCCGGTTATGTATATTTTTTAATATACTGTAATCACCTAGTTGAATAAAAGCCTGTTAAAATGAGCATCTGCAGGATGATTTCAAAATCCGGGCATTTTCAGAGACAGGCGAAGAGATAGTCTGATGATTACTGTGCACAGAATTTTCCAAACTTAAAGGCACAATATAAGATTTTTTTTATTAAAATATCCAAAAACCGTTAAAACAGTGTTATATATTTTGCAGACTTGTGTACTATCCCAAATGTTTCGAAGAATGTTTAAATCCAGAGAAATAAGCAATTTTAACTAGTGACACGGACCGTGTCCATAGTGTCATTGTGTCTCTGCTAGTCAAGTGTAACGGAGTAAAACAGTGTCACGTCAAAGCGCCCTGCCCTCCTTTCTGCCTTTCCAGTTTTCCCATCATCTCATACGGGTGCCATGGCTTTGACTCCCCCTTCTGCCGTGCGCGCTTTCTCAGGGACGCGATAAGCTACTGCTGCGTATCAGATCATTCCCGATCGCTTTTGATCGTGACGTTGGATATATTAATTGTTACCGGCGTAACATCGTTATTAACGATGACTCGTGCTGCTGTGCGCGTTCCCAGGCAACCCCGGTCATGAACGCGCACTGAACGCGCTCACTCGCCGCGTTTCATTTCTTCTGTTAGAGCCGGTGAACATTATTGACTATGGAAAGCTGAGCCTCGTGCATTCATACACCGAATACAGTAACTCAAAGGTCATTCAGAGCAACGAAAGGATTTTATTTGCACCACATTCGTGGTTCTCGACAAGGTGAGTACGGCTGGATTATTTTTTTTATATATCGTAGCTATATTTTTTTGCTGGCCGTTGGGATTAAAAATAGAGCTCAAGGAGATTTTAGTCACATTTCCGGTTGATCAAACAAATACAATGCCTGGCATATTGTTTAAACCGAAGGTGCGTGTTCAATATTTGTCCATGGTGTTTATAAATCCGGGTATTTTTTTTTTCTCCGATCCGCCGGTTTAAATGGACTGTAAGATTGTTTCTCAACAACAACAAATGCTCGTAATGTTTTACATTTAATTCAGAAACAGTTCGTATGATTATTGATTTATTTGTGTGAATATTGCAGACAAACAGCCGTAAAGTGTCGAGCTGTTTCAGATGACTAAATCTAGCCGAAGTCCTGTCAAGGACTAGTCTGGATTTGTCTTTTTTTGTACGTCACACCTGAACTAGATCTCCCTATAGCAAAGGAAAATTGCAAATCAGATCTCGTTTTTTTCCCTTGAAGAGCTGAAGTGAAGAGCTTCTCAGATGTTTCTCCTGAGGAAAAACATGTAATTTCACATGTCTCCCCTACACTTGCAGATCTCAACAACGTCTCAAATTGTGCTCAGGTTTGCCAGGATTACATGACAGAGATTCCAATATGAACTTAAATAATTCAGACCAAATGATATGATCTGCTATCCACATCAATTTTATAGATGCGTACAACTATCCTCTCATTTGTGTCTGCTTTTAGTAGAAACGACTGAGGCAAAGTTTGTGGTTGGAGTTCTCAGAAATGCTTTGTCTTTATTCAGTACTTTTAATTTGGTACTTGCTTCTTTTACTTTTAATGGTATGTATTAGTGATAGACTGATTAATCACGTAGCAGTCAGTGAACCTCTTCAGTGAACTAAAGAGAAGTTCTCGCCTGCTTTGTTGGCGGTGTTTGGGATTATGGTTCTCCCACTCACGATGACTCAAATCTCTAAATATTGAGTTTGCCATAAGGCATGAGTGTTTAATTCCTATTTTTGGACATCCTTAAATTTAAGAAAGCCGTAATCGGCTTGAATCAACATTTCATTTCAACACATTCTCATGGCAGCTATTTTATGTTTTGGCAAATTGGTGGCTAATTTGGATGAATTCATACAATCTCATTTGTACTTTTTTGTTTTCTGTTCATGCCCCATTGAGGGTTAGGGTTAGGCGTGGACCTTCATACGTACTTTTGTCTGAATCACATTGTACAAATTCATACGAAAGTGCCATCTCGTTGAAATAGTTTTCTTGTGAGATCGGGTTGGTTATTTTTAGGCTTTTTTTTTTAGACATGTACATGGCATGAATTGTGATGTCCACTAGTGTAGTCACGCTGTTTATGAGAAACACCTTGCATCACTTTATAGTGGATTAAGGAGTTTTACTTTAGCAGATATTCCCTGTACAAAACTACTCCACTGTAAATCATGGGTTTAGAGCCTTAGAAATCTTATCAGGGGAGTTTGAGCCTAGAACTAAGCTATAATTTGTTAGTTTACCACTTCTCATATTGGTAGAAATACCTCGCCCACACTTGCTGTCCTCAGAGTGTTTCGTTTTCCCAGCCTCCTCATTCTTCATGGCAAAATGCACTTAGGTAAGTGAAAGTGAGAGCGTGGTTTGTACTAAACAAATCGACCCTGGTTTGAATCTTTGGCAGGCTGCATTCTTAAAACAATTTTGGCATCTATGGTTCCATGAAGAACCTTTAACATCCATGGAAACTTTCCATTCCACTAAAGGTTCTTTATAGTAGAAAAATGGGTTATTAGAGTATTAAAATGTTCTTTAGACTAAGAAAAAAATATTCTTTTAAGAACTGGTCACTAAAAGCTTCTCTGGAGAACCCAAAATGGTTCTTCTATGGCATTGCTGTGAATACCTTCTTTTGGAACCTATGATATAAAGAGTACACGCTTAAAAATAAAGACTCTTTATTGACATTGAAGGTTCCACGAAGAACCTTTAACACCCATGGAATCTTTTCATTCCACAAAAGGTTCTTAATAATGGAAAAAGGTTCTTTAGATTATTCAAATGTTCTTTACAGCAAGAAAAACAGGTAGGCCTACTTTTAAGAACTGTTTTGCTGAAAATGGTTCTTCTACTGCAAAAACCCCCTTTTGTAGAATCTTTAACCATCGACCTCACTTGAACATTTAGAGCATCATCTTGGAGCGCAAATGGAGCGCAACAGTGTCTGGTAAAGCAGCCATATTTTGTGTTTATCTTTGAGTTTTGCCTTCTCTGTTGGCTTACGTTTAATTTTAAGTTCTAGTTCTGTCGTTGTACATCCTGGTTATCTTGGGGACAAGTTGAATCCTTGCCAGAGACTCAATGTCAATGTTAATCTTAGGGTTTAGTAGAGTGGAAGTACTTTTCCCCATCCATTTTATCATGCACCAGGTAAAAATGGGAAAGTCCAGTCACTTTGAAAAGTAACAACATGCCTTTGCTCAAAAAGTTGCATGATTTGAGGTACATGTCTGTAACATTATTTTGAGTTAGGGTTTGTTTGAATCCTCAACCCTAAGTATGCACCACCAATAAAGAAATCTAACACAAGACTCAGAGGTGCACATGCAGTAAACAAGTGCTTCAGAATTGACTCTGTAATGAGTGAGTGTCTGATAAATTCAAGGTATTCCCTTAAATATGTTGTTATTCCAATGAGCTGTTTATCCTATAGTGATTTGGAGCAATTAGTAGCTAATGCATCCGTCTTCAGTAGTGTTCATCTGTTGTTTCTCTGCATTGCCCGTGGCTGTTGATGGTCCTTATGGGTGCTTTCTTGAGGAGGGACTGATGCTCTTAATTAGATGTGCTCATAATACCACTGAGGACTCTTGAAGAAGGGGCCCGGAGCCCGTGAAGTGGCTTTAATGCCTTTTGGAATTCTGTGAATGTCTTTCAGTGAAAGCCGTGGATGTTTAAGCTGGCTTCAAGTGAGATCATTGGAAAAGCAGCCTTTTAAGGCAAAATTCCTGTTAATTGGTAACGTGCCGACGCAGTGGGGCCTTTGTCCTCCCTTCACTGGGACCTTCTGTCTGTGAAGAGTGATACACTGGGCTTTGGGCTCCGTTATGAATGACGTGCTTGTTTCTGTTGACTGGCTTTGAGAATTGGCATGCAATAAAAAGTGGCTGCTTCTTTTGAAATGCTATTATGTGAACGAGTGGCACGATTAGTCAAGGAAAGAGAAACCAGAGGACAACAGAGAACTCCCTCAGACTGAAATTTTGGGAAGCAGTTAGACCAAATTATATCAGTTGAACCACTAAGATATTCATAAGAGATATACAAAGGAATTTTTCATATCTGACTCAAATCTCCCATTAATGTTAACCTCCTCAAAATATATCTCTCTCCAATAAAATAACATACACTTTTTTTTACATTATTTTCATGATAGTAATTGTTGCACTGGCTTGAATGTATTTGTGTTATTTTATTTTTATTTATTTTATTTTATATTTTATTTTCAGAAACATCTGTTGATTCATGATGGATATGGTGTTGAGATTTTACAGGAAACTCCATCACCTTCTCTTTTATGTGTATATAAACTCTTGATATGAGATTACAGTAGACCTTGACGGGCGTTGAGTGCTTTACACGTGATTGAACAAGCGCCTCGTTTTGTGTGATTGGCAATGAAATTTGCATATGTAATGGTCACGCTATTGGCCTCTCTGGGTTTGGACAATGCAGCCGAAATTTGCGGTGGACACCCACAGATTTTGTTAAATTTTTAATGCAGCAGACGGCTAACTTCTGTTGTTGCGTGTATCTGCCTCTCCATGTTCTGTTGCACTGTCCCAGTTATGCGTCTAATTCGTTTCTACAAATGCTCAAGGACAGTTGTGCAAATTCATTGGAAAATGCTTTTTTTCTTCTTTTTTTCTGTGAGAATGTTGGTTGCGTTTTCATTTTGTCCCCTCTGACATGCTTTCAAACTTCTAATTATAGTGTTTATCATTCAGAATATGAAGTCACAGGCAGCAACCGTTTATGCAACTAAAATATTTCATCTGCATGTGTACATATAAACCAGCAATGAAAATCATTTGCTCTCTGACAGTGATTGTCTTGAATTTCTTCAATGAAGGTGTTGCATTTATTACAAAAGCTTTGACTGCAAAGGCTTATTTAGAGAAGATGCAACAACATTGAGAGGAGTTTGCCAGCGTGACATGCTTAAAGGGGTCATATGATGCTGCTAAAAAGAACATTATTTTGTGTATTTGGTGTAATGAAATGTGTTTATGCGGTTTAAGGTTAAAAAAACACATTATTTTCCACATACTGTACATTATTGTTTCTCCTCTATGCCCCGCCTTTCTGAAACGCGTCGATTTTTACAAAACTAATCGGTCTGAAAAGCGAGGTGTGCTCTGATTAACCAACTATCCAGTGCGTTGTGATTGGCCGAAAAGCTCAAGCGTGTGACGGAAATGTTACACCCCTTTAACTTTTATAAAGAATATCTCTTTGGATTTGAGACTTTAGTCTTTGCAACTTTACAGATCTTCTTTATGCACCAAGAGCTTGTAACACTCCAAAGAGAAAGGAAAATTTGAAATCGCATCATATGACCCCTTTAACATTTACTGTTGGATTGCCATTGAGCTTGAAACTTGTCAACTGTGATATATCTCATCCCTCGTAGAATTTCTAGTCGGTGCAAAAACTTTCTCTTAATCAAATCATCAGAGTCAGTTTGAATAGACACTTCAAATTCGACTCAAAACTGAATGTGAACGATGGATGTACGGTCTATCCAGTAGTTTGTACGGTCAAAGGTCATGTCCAGACCCACAACTTTGCGTAAAGTAAATGCTGTTCTTGAAGTTCTATACATACGTTTAACTATATTTACCCATATGAAACCATTGTTTTACCATATTTAAATGTGCAAACGTTTTGTTCACTGAATTATTATTATTATTTTCTTTGGAACAGCATAAGGTTAGCTAAACCATTAAAACCC